AGGTGTAATGACCATTTTTGAAACCTTGTATTAGTTTGCTCTCCTTTCTGATGAGCCCTCGTGATCTATAGTTAGCACTTATATTGTTAAAGCACTGGCGTACCTGCATACACTAGGGATGACAGTGTGTATAAAAGGCAAGCTCGGGGAATCTCGGTTTTTACACTTGGCCTTGCTTAGCTAGCTCTTTAGTGTTGGCACCAAGGTACTAAGTTGTGCACTTAATCACCCATGGACTCCCTATTTAAGAGGACATCACTAGACAATCAATTTTGTTGGCAAGTGATAATATTAATTTGGCAAGTGATAGCATCAATTGTTTTCTTTTTCCCTTTCTGTGTAATCAGTGGGCTGATAGACCTATGAATTGTATCATCACTTCAGTCTTAACATACATTCATTGTTTGAAAAATGTTATGCATGCATTTTCTAGTCATAGGAATAAGAAGTTAGAAAAGATAACTTGTTACTAAAAACTAAAAATGACATCTTTCCATCTAAGTTAAAAATTTAAAATCGTTTTTGAACTGGATTTGCCTAATTCTTTTTCGTCGATTAATTACAGATTTTTCAATCTCTTATCCCAAAAATTATTTGTCTCTGTTCTGATTTTCTCTTGCATCACACACATATATGTAAATATATTTTATTTGTATATCAGTCTTAATTTTTTCTACACCTTTCTTCGTTAAAGCCCACACTTTAGTTATTGCGCTTAAAAGGGGACCTTAACGCTTTTCTATACTTTTCAGTTTTGAGAATTCTGGCTTGTCAGATCTTCCAAATGGAACAAGTCTCGCGAATATATGTTGAAGCAATCACTTTGACCGACTCTTCACAATTGTTGTATGAAGTGCTTTAATAGTCCTTATTTGACCAGAAAACTGGAATATCCTAAAATGATGTTTATTTCATAATTAGTAATAATGCAGAGAATTTTCTGCTATGTCAAAGGACTGACAAAGCTTCATCCTCTATGCTATCAGTTACATCTGCTGCCTCGTCAATGGATGGACTTAACACGGTGTGACTTTTTTCTTTGGTTTTCTAGAGTAATGCTGCAATCACCTGTTTTATATGTTTGCAGAAAGATTTGATAAAGAAATAGGCAGTAAGTATGGAATTGTGCCTGGCTCTCGTGAGAATTCTCTTTACAATGCTCTCTGGGTTGCACAAGCCCTTCTCCGTAAAGGGTAAGATTTGTTCTATTCTCCAGTTTACTAGCCATTTCCTTTTCATTTCTCTTTGTTTTCCCCTGAAATGCTGTGCGGCCCCTATTTTACTTGTCTTTAAAACCATTTTCAGATCTGCAAAAACTGCTGATAAACGCATGCTCTTGTTTACAAATGAAGATGATCCTTTTGGAAATCTCAAAGGTGTCATAAAAGTGGATATGATGAGGACAACACTGCAGCGTGCCAAAGTATAGTATCTATGCCACATATTGATATATCAATATTTTAGTCAGTTGAAAACAAATCCTATGGGAAAAAGTAAATTTATGTAAAGATAACTCTGAGTGAATAAAAATTTAGATTGTTTTATAACTTTGCTTGTCAAATAGTTTTTGAATAACTATTATACTACCGTTCTACTCATATCGCGAATGGTTGCAGGATGCTCAAGATCTTGGTATTGCAATTGAGCTTCTTCCACTAAGTCGACCAGATGATGAGTTCAATGTTTCCCTTTTCTATACTGTATGGTCATTGTTTATGTTTTAGATCCTTTAAAAGTTGCACGTCGTTGTTATCTAATTCAAGATCTTGGGCTTCAGGATTTACTTGGTTTGGAGGGTGATGACCTTGCTCAGTTCAAGGCTCTTGTAGGAGAGAGGTATACCTTACAAAAATCTTCAACTGTTGAGAATTCCTCATGGATAGTTGTGAGCTATTCAAGTTTGTTAATATGCTTGGTATATGTATGGCTATCTCATATTTTAGCACTAGTCAAATGATGAATCTCCATGTAAAAGTAAAACTCTTTCTGAAGGACTTGATAGTTATTAACACAACCTAATGTAATATGCTTAATGATTATTCATTAAAGGAGCCCAAAAGTAGAAGAGGTTGTTTCATAATAGTCGTGCTTTCTTTCGGTGACTGAAGTGAGGTGGTTGTTTGTTGTAAAAATATTTCTCTAAGTGATCTTATGTTCATGAAGAACAAATCACTTAAGTTTTCTTTTCTGCAACTTCTTAGAATAGTCATAGGGGTGTTCATGTTAGAAGAACGTTAAGTTGATTAATTGAAAACTTTCCTTTAAAGAATCAAATTCCCTAACTTTATCTATAGATTAAAAGATTTATCCTTTAATTCAAATTTATTTTTATTACGTAGTCTAATAGATATTGTCTTAAAACTGCCAAGTAGCTTTTTATTAGCTTACCACTTGGCTTAACCTCAATGCAAACTACTCTCCTATTTTATATATATAGAAAGATATAGATAATAGATATTGTTTTAAAATTGCTTAGTGGATTTTTATTAGCTTGTCACTTGGCTTAACCTCAATGCAAACTACTCTCCTATTTGTTATATATAGATATAGAATCAGATTATTAACGTTCAGGGTTTTCTGTCTGTCCCTTCAAGATGCATTTCTCCTTATGTCTAGGCATTTATAAAAGCATGCATGTATTTTTCTATGTAGTTTAACATAATATAATCATATTTTTTGATAAGTAACACAATGTAATCATATAATACCATTGAAGTTTCTAAAGATTAGAAAATCTTTGAATTTGTTGTATCACTAGACCACGATGCAGATAGATTTAATCCTGATAGAAAGCTACTATCATGTAAGAAAAATAATTGCTGAGAGACAGACATAGATATATAAGACAGACAAGATTATCGTCCAATATAATTAGGTAGGGACATCACAAGTCTGGTAAATGAAATATGAAAGTATAGTTACCATGTGGTTGTTCCGTTGAGTAGCATTTAGCAGACATGAATAGATACAGAGATAAAACTTTGAAAATTAGAGGAATTGACCATGAAAAGGGCATAAAATTCACCAACTTGTGTATAACGCAAGTAAAAAAGAGCATACTACTAAAGAGAGAATGAAGAATGTTCAGACTATCAGCAAAGCTCCTCTACTTCCAATTTCAGGCTTCACTGAAGAAGGACAGGTTTCATCTTTTTCAATAGGTGTTGTTTACTGTACAATGTACTTCTTTGTTATTTGAACAGTCGTCTTGAGCAATAGGAAGAGGTCTTTTACTGGAAGGAGAACAGAAGGGAAATAACATCCATTTTGTGCCTGTAGAGAGAAATGAGTGGTCCAGATGGGTGATATGAATGGTCAACATATTACTTGTTAGTTTCATTTATTTATTTATTTTCTTGATTGATGAAATGAATACTCAAATGTGGAAAACCAAAGAACATGAAGATGGGATGACCAGATTGGTGTTTGGTGGTTTGGGGGGGGGGGGG